CCAAGTTTCAATATTTAAAAGATTGATTTTTAAGAAAATGTTGTATATGCCATAATTACAGTACAAATTAATTAGTTATAATGATTTGGAGGAACTAATAAATGACAAAATTTTATTTATTTTCTCATTTACTATTTATAAATTAGTTGAAAATTTGATGAGAACTAAACTAATTTTGTAATGATATAATAGAAACGATACCTTACCTCCCAACTTTCTTTTGTAAATTCCGGTACATCTCCTTGACTCCCGTGTCTGCTTGTCGAAGGAGTAGAGTCCGGGCTCCAAAGTTCAGTCTCGTTTTCGATCAGCATAAATCCTCGACTTTTAATCTGTAATTAAAATCCAAATTTTTACATCACTTAACTGACTTACATTAAAACGTAATATTACTTCTTCTTCATCAATTTCTCCGTACAGTTGAGGAAACCAGGCCTGAATAAAATTATAGAGATCATCAACTCTGTTACGGGGAACACTGAACCAATACTCTGGTCTCATCTTCTTTTTACCATACGACATGAGCGGAGTAGATTTGGGTATTGGTTTGTCCAATGGTTTTCCCATTCTAAGCCTCAAGTATAATGGAGGATCCTCGCAAGATCGTGCAGGCGTTGGAATTAATTCTAAAATGTTATTATAGTAGCATACACGATACACAGAGGGTAGTTCATTTTGTCTATAAACGAAAAATGTATAGTACTAAATAAATAAAGTTATTTTTATTTTGTTCAAAAACTTACTATCAAAGGAAACAAACAATTCTGGCATGTCTTCAACCGACACCATTGATCTATAATCTAACTTAGGCTGAAGCGATTTCGATGGTTTAGACGACTCAGTCGGCTGTCTTATAAACGTTCCCACAGATGATCTCCTACAATTTAATTACTATTATCTATAAAATTAATGATTTGGTGATGGGCGCATTTTTAAGTTAAAATATGGAAGTTGTCAATACAGCAAGGGATCATTTTTGATAGATATATCTCACTTACATTTACGATTAAATGCGAACATTATCTGCATTCATGTTGGAAAATAGCAATACGGTTGTTTACATACACACATTTTATGTAAACAATAATTAATGCATATATTAAAAATTAAAGTGGTGAATGCAACAAAAAAGCAAACATGTTTATTGGGTACCAAACTAAAACATTTAATACAGCTCAATTTTAAAGAATAATTGCAACTCATACATAAGTAAGACAAGTATACTGTTTGTCAATAGTTTTTATGCTATTAAAACTAAGTTGTCTCTTAAGATTTCCTATGAATTTCACTCCTCTACTCCATTTATTATTATTGTTTGTGGTAGTCGCAGCCCTTTCTATTGCCTAATTATTTTAAACAACTCAGTTTCAACAGGGTGTTAAAATATAATAATAAATACTAACAATTATTTTTGTTTAACAGGGAAGAAATCTGACAGGCATGCATGCATCAAGCGACAAGCAATAACAGGTATACGATAAACAACAGATAGGACACAGCAACAACGGCAACGTACCCAACAGCTTCAACTGATGCTCCCAAAGAAGCACCCATCGTTCCAACCGAAGCACCTAAGGAGCTTACCGAAGCACCCATTGTATTAATGATGTTAGTAGGAAAGAAAGCGCATGCACCGCCGCTCGCGGCAGAAGTTGTTACAGAAGAAGCGTTAGCAGGATCGTTGATATTTGCGCCGGAAACGGCGATGCAGCTGGGCGACGGTGTATTGGCGCATGCGTCCATACTATCCTCCGACGACGTTTTGCTCGAAAACAAACCCGTGCTGAAGTTAACGAAATTCTTTGAAGAGCTCAATACCACCACCCAAACGAACAACGTCACACCAATATTAATTTTAACTCCTTTTACCAAATACTCTAGAAGCTTTTCTAGTGTATTTGCTTTTACAGAATTCAAAAGATGGTGCTGCAAAGTACTGCAGTCTACGCAACATCAGTGCATCGGTAGAAAATATACGTAAAATTTATGGCCTTATGAATTAAATATGGAGTTTGACCGTTGTCGTTGGGAAATACTAACTTATTTTGATATTACACTATGAGTATCTAGAAACTACTCATGGAAATAGTAATTTTTAGCTTTTACAATTTAAAAATTGTAAAAACAGTGAAAAAAACCTTTCTGAAATATTAGTGCTACTTCAAATGGGACGGATATCTGAAATGTGATCATAATCATAACGAAATAAATTACAGTGAAATGTGTGGTGCTGTCTAAGAATCATGTCGGTGTTGTGGGAAGAGGAAATACCCGTCGTAATAATATAGGTTACTGATATCACTTATCATAATGGATTTTCGCTGTGTGTAGACGAAGTATTCAAATTATTTAAATGTTTGTATAGTGCTATATTTTAAGCTAGCCAAGCATTCAGAACATCATATAAAAGTTAATTTTCTACAGTTTGTTTCAAACACACTACATTAAAACACGAAAAATTTTAGAGGCTTAGAATATAAGGGTATATTAATAAAGAAGACGTGATGGAAAGTGTATTAAATTATGTAATATTGTTCGTATTAAATTTATCGCAATTATTACACTATTCTAAGCCGTCGTATAAAAACACCTAGAAAAGATTATTGGATGTGCTTTATCATGAACTATACGTCACAAAATCATTTACTCAAAAACTGTGGCTGCAATTGTAATAACTGTCTCATAAAAGCAACGAACGGAACGTGAACTCAATTATTTCATAATCACAACAACAACTCTCTTACCTGGAGAACACTTTCGAGAATACTGATGTGTGTTGTGAGTCCGCTGAATGTGGTTGTTGCTGACTAGATTTCTCTTGATCCTTGTCCGTTGAGAAAGTTTCCATCCAAGATAACGGGTAGGAAAGACGTTTTAACATCTGAAAATAATAGTATGTATTAAATTAGCTGTTAAGGCTTACGGTTAATCTTTTGCTAAGAAATACTACATTCTTCTTCATCAACTAAAAACTAATCAATTCAACCAAATGTTAGATAATTACTTCACTCAGATGGTTTTACCTTATTCTTCCTGTTTTGTTCTCCCGTTTCTCTTTCTGACAATGTCTCTTTTTTCTTCTCCTTTTGAGTAGTAGTTACATCTGTAGTTTCTGAAGTGTCCGTGTTTGAGTCCAGACTGAATGATACTGAACTGGTTTTCTTGCGAGCAGGGCTTTCTGTATCGCTGCTTCCTAAAACGTGAGATGCTGGCAGAGGCAGTGCTGGTACCCAATCGTTCGAGAGTATTATGTCCGCATCACTGTATTTTGTTTTTACGGGAATCGGTTGAATTGGAGGAACTATAGGCGGCGAAGGGGAAGGTGGAAGTGGTGGTGCAGAGGGAATAGGAGTGAAATCATGTACGTCTATTCCTGAATCATGGCAACTTTCTTTAGTTAAGCTTTCTTTCTCGTTTTCTTTCAATTCCTGATATGATGGTGTTAACGGTTCTGATATTTCCTCCACATCCATTGACCTTACGAGGTTTAAGATGTGTTAATTGTGAGTGAAAAAAAAAAATGATAACAAGGGAGATCTTACTCTCTATCCTTGGATGGCACAGCCCAATGATGATCCAGCAATGATTTACGTCTGTCTTCTACGCTATATTTATTATCACCAGATTCTATATTTACAGGTGTGACTAGTTCTCTTTCGAAAGCTTTTGGGAAGGCGTCTCCTTCACGTTCAGCACTCGAACAAACCGATTCGGCATCGTCTCCTGCAACTGTCACATCTAAAACTACTAACACACAAGTCTTGTACCTTCTTTATCGACCACACATGAGCGATTTATTTCTTTACATTGTTTACCACAATTTTTATCCTTACCAAGTTCCGGAAAAGTTTCATCCTTGACCATAAGCGAGTCGGGCTCGTGATCATCGCCAATGCTCTTCTCGTTCATTGATGATTTTCCATGATAGATCTCAGGTTTTTCGTATTGCATGTTCTGATCTTGCGATCGTACACCGTGTTGTCCGGTGCGCATGTGCGCAATGTCGTAGTATATGGCGACGTTGACTACGAATTCCATTGGTGCGATCACACCATATGCTTCGGGTCCGTGTTCGATTACGAGCGTGTCGGACACGTTCGGATCGAACATAACGGCGTTAGGGGTGACGAGAAGCACTCCTCCCACCACTCCCTGTCCGTCGGTGATATGGCGTACGTTGATCTTAAGGAAACGAGCGGTAAACGGTGACGAGTCAGATAGACTTCCGCTGGCAACAGCGCTGTCTGTCGATCCTGATCCAAAACCTGCCACTGAGGGTGTTCTGATACGCTCCACGTGTCCAGGCTTCGGACTGACCGGTCGTAAGTTTTCCAGGAGTTCTGAAAATATAAATAACATACTTAGTATTAATGCTTCCTGCATAATTCCTTTAGAATAACAACCACAGAAAGCCTAATACACAACCTATTTGGATTTACTTACATAGGTATTACATACTCTAAAATTATTTTCAAATATGGTTGACTTCCGGCTATACCGGTGCAATTTTTTTTTAAAAATCTGACGATGCTTGATCGGTTTTGATTTGTTTGACGTTTGTTGAAAAAAATGTCAGTTACAATACCTTCAAAAATTATAAACAACTTTGAAACCATTAAATTAGAATAAATTAAAGAGTTTTCTGGTTAAAACTGATGTGTTAAATTGCCTTACGTTTTACCTGTGAACTGTAAAACTTGAAGACTTTGAAACATGGATAACTGGATCTTTATTAAGACAGAAGATAGTTATAAAGGAATGCTGTTATGGGACAGTGTATATCATCCAATTATCGATAAAATTTGGACTACTACAAATGTCTCAGAATTTTTCTAGTTTTTTTACTTTATACTGTGTAGAATTGAGTAATACGAGGGTGGATTGATAAGTTTCCGGCCTAACCAAGAGATGACGCCACTAGGCCTACCTTGAGGTGACATTCTATAGTACCATCCTTGGATAGCTTGTAGCTATAGTTTCAGCCCGATCTCCTTGCTAGTGTAGGTTTGACAGCACG